ACATCATTCAAACATTCCGTGTTAGATTATATCATATGAGTTTCGCTGAAAAGAGTCTAATTAGATTCCGTTGGTATCTTGCTGAATCATTCATTAGCTCTTGGCCTTTCCCTCTTAGCGAGGAGATGCTCCAATTTCCAAAATTCAGACTGCTTCACCATTGTCGAAATCGTTCTCCTGGAACCTTACCTGACGTTCCATAATGGCTTCGAACTATCAGTCTCCTTAGTTTAAAAGGACTGCACGGTTGAGTTACAAGTTAGTCATCTGGCGTGCCTCATGGCGACATTGCCGTCCAGCTACGTCTGTTCCTCTAGTTCCCAGAAGACGTGAAGCAGGTGGTGCTCAAAAGAATTTCTCGTTCACTAAGCCCGTAACAAACGGATCGGCTTTAAGTCCATAATTTAAAACATAATCTTGTAAGTTAGACTTATCTGAAACAAAAGGTTAGAGAGATCGATAATATTATTTAAATAAATCATTACATTCAAAAGTTGATAGATGATTACTTATTTGTTCAGGAAACAAAATGAAGGAAGTTTGTCTTTCAATTTGCCAATGTCATTATTGCAGCAAGAATAAAATATTGAACCGTGAAGAGAGACCGTCATGCATTTGAATAACAGGAAACGTTCAGAACCCTAGAACGGTGTTCCTTTCTTAGCGCTAGCAGGGCAATTAAAAAGTTGTTACATTTTTTGGCTCATTACTGCTTTATGTTTTGCCCTAAATTACTTTCTGCGCCATTACGGGCTTTGTGATTAATTATAACAGATTTTAGCGTCGGCACGATGGATTTTGTACAAAAAAATAAGGTGCGCCATGATTAGCTTCTACGGACTAAGGACTTCGGACGAAGAAAAACTAAATATTTTCTTATGTATGTTCGAACACATTTGTACAGAAGACCTTCAGTTTGTTTTATATTATATTGCTTAGTAAGGTTATGACGAACTGCTAACAACCTGCGCTGAAGGGCATATTTGTTAGTCATGGAGGTTCAAACAGTGAAGACGGCAGATTGACAGATGGATAAATTATATGCAAAATTTTCAGAGTTTTGTCCATATCCAACTGGGTTGAGATCAACGGCAGACCTGCAAGGAGGTAACTGCAATCTTCAAAATCCCGCAGATGCAGATTGCGGCGGAGCGAAAGGAAAGGGCATGTACTTTTGCGCTGGGCAGAACCACTGCTGTCCAACAAGAGGTACGTTGTTTTATAATTTCTGTCCTTTCTGCTGATTACTCATCGCTGTTTTGCACTGTAAGTCTGATTTTCAGCATTCATGTGTACGCAAGAGAAGACCGAGGCCGCCGACAAGACCCTGCCTACCAACGTTGTGCGTTACTGGTTTAACAAAGCTCAAGGTCGATGTGAACCATTTCTATTCGACGACAACGTTCAGCACACGACAGCCAACAACTTCAACAGTCAAGAAGAATGTCTGAGTGCCTGTTTACCAAGTACGCCCATTGCGATGTTATGTCCGAAAGAGTTCACCAAACCTAACATATTACATACTTTGTAAGACTCACTCACACCGATACCGCGTTGTAGATGTCTTGAAGATGATAGATCTTCTGATTCTACAGATGGCGCCACTAGAAACAAGAAAATAGTTTTATTTACAAGAATTCCAACTGAACTGGCATCGACCATCATCAAGGAATGAACCTGAAACAGGAATAAAATGGACCAGTGATGCTTGACTAGGGGCGCTGGTCCGGTCGTCAATGGTGTCAATGCAAATGTTGAATGGTCTATGTGGTTGAGCTGACATTTGATTATGGATATGGCAAATTTTCAATTTATTCTTATTTAAATGACACAAGTTTGGACCCGTCCAGTTTTTGATTGTAATTCCACCATATCTATACCATATATCAGGTGTATCCGAGAAAATTAGATGATATTTAAAATCTTACGGTGGTAATGTATTTTTCTACAGGGGCAAAACTTTGCACAACCTATTGTACACAAGGTTTGATCCTCACTCCAGTTTGGAGAGACAACGCGGTTATCAGATAGTTTACAATAGCTAGTAGACCGGATATATATTGGCAAGACTTGCCCGGAGATAAAACTAGATCAGCGCAGGGCCGAAGAACCATCAAGTGCCGCAACGCTGACCATTCTGGTTATGTTGCTCATGCCCTAGAAAATGGTCATCATTTTAACAACAGCGACGTAAAGGTGGTCGGTCGATGCCGAGGGAAAATGAAACTGTTAATCAAGGAGACTCTACACATCGTTGCCAGCGATAGATCTTGAAGTGGTGGTATTGGTTCCTCTGACACTTCCGCAGCGTGGACAATGATTCATAGCTTAATTGGCCACCAGCACCATGTTCAGTCATTAGGGTAAAGCATTAATTGACCCAGCAGTTTATTTTTGTTTCTAGTTCATTCCCTGATGATAATCGATGCCAATTCTGATGAAACGTGAAATTCTTGTAAATAAAACAATTTTCTGATTTTTCGTGCTGCCAACCATGGAATCAGAAGGCCTGTCACCGAGAGATAGTAATTATAATTTTAAAAACATATCTAAATTCCCTAAACGCCAGCTCAGTTCCAAATTTAAAAAATTGTTTCCGATATTGCACCGCATATCGAATGTACTGCTGAAGGAAAGATAAGCTGCACAAATAACACAACTTTATCGCTTGTCGTCACCTTCAAATCTTAATTAAAGCTGAAGTCATTCGTCTTAACAAAAGCGTATACTGCACTGCTTCTCACGCAATCCCACGGCAAGCAGCTTTGGTACGGAACTGAACACATGTGCAGCTATAACTATACATATAGTCGACTCTAACTTCTCCGGGCAGTTTAGAGGTCCTCAGCCACTTGTTCCTAGGCATGAAGAACCATTCTTCTGTGACTTGCCGAAGATCCTGGGTCTAGCTATATCATGCGTCGCTTCTGTCCGATTCACGAGTACTGATGTCTTCAACTGGTTCCGCTAGCTTCATTCCCATATCTCGTGCGGTCGTAACGTTTTATATCTCTTTGCGATAAAATCATACGCTTGGGAACTGTCGCATACTTACAGTCAGATGCTTAATTATTCTGTTTCTTTGGGGCGGTTGATGATTCTTAGAAACATGTTAGTATTGTCCCCTGCCGAAAAGCTGAGCTGGTTCAACAAACCTCAACAACGTTCGTCCTATAGCCATTTCTTCCATTCTTCTAAATTTTCTAGAACATTTTGTGCGTCTTCACATAGAGACAGTAAAACTTACATTTCAAGAATCCTACAAATTCGCATGCAGGAAAAATGTAAGTACATTAGAAGCCATTAAAGGTTATGTAAATTACGTAACGCAGCATTTGCATAAGGGGAAGGTATTAGCTGCAGCCTCCATTTACACTTTAGTTCTGCATTTATCATTAAATCACAATCCAAACTTTTGATTGAACTGGTCTTAACTAAACTTGATGAAGTGTACTTCGCTGGCAAGGGAACTACTAACTAGAAGAAAACAATTTATGGCTATTGAATTTCGTAGGTCCAGTTCTCGAAACAGTCACTCTGGCGTGCGGCAAGGTGAAGTATTATCTGCCCTCCTCTTCATCTTCAATACTGACGACCTAAGTCTAATCACTCCGTCATGCTT